ACACACATATATATATACACATGAACGGGGGCCGCTGCCGGTTTCGCAGCTGGGCCGATATATCCTGCCGCCCCTCCTCCCACCCCCAAGGGTACCGTATTTTTACGCGGCCCAGGCCGCCATTATTAATGACCGCGGAAACCGCGTCAAAGATCTCACGAAGCGTGCGCGAGCGTGATCCGTCCGCGTGTGTACGATACGCATTTTTTCAAATGCGCCGCCACCGCCGCCATCGCCGCCGCCAAGTGATAAATGGCGGCTACTAAACCGGGGGAGCCGGAATGTTCTTGTCCCACAGGCGGAGAGAATCGGGCGAGAGATCCGTGGATCAGCTGCTAGACGCATCGTGATTTAACGCGGCTCGCATCTATATGACGTGCCATTGTGATTTAGGTGTTTAGATATTAACGGTTCCGATATTACGTTCGAGCCGCTTCGTTTGCTCTCCCAGCTTCTGGGAATCTCGGTCCTCGTTTCTCTGTGATTTTTATTTTTTTTCTTTAAGTATATTCGATGATCGGTGGAAGAGGAAGGAAGTACGTGTATTAGTGGTGGCGATGGCTCGATGTTATTAATGGGAAGCGTAATTTTCAGCAGCCTATGTTTATTAATATGGAAAGAGCGCTCCATTACGATCGATATATGGGGATACGTGTTGATTGTTATCGATACAGGATGCGCGATGACTCCTCTTCCTTTCTCGCTGATTGATACGCTGATCGATATGGTGTACGAGGTATTACGTCTCCCTTTCTGAATAAGATCTTTATTATCTAGATTTCGAACGGAGAAATTTTCTCGATCGAATATTTAATACATCTCGATATTCGTTATGTTTCGATATCAAAAAAACAATTGAACGAATGGAATTAGATCCCAGACTTCTTCAACCTGGCCACGTCAGCCTCTAAACTGTGAAGTTTCCGGGTCAATTCTCGAACTTGCTCGTTCAACCCGGCCACGCTTTGAGGCAACGAGTCCGAGGAAGCGATCTTCCTGTCCACGCATTTGTTCAGAATCGCGTCATCTTGCTGCGCACCTGGCTCGTGAGCCAGACACTCCTCGATCAGAAGATCGGTTATGCCCCAATCCCTGATGAAACGTATGTGATTCCTTCCCAGATACCAAGTCATGGAAAAGCGACATCTGTACGCCCACGGGTTGCCCGCGATCAAGATCGTTCCAAGTTTCTTCAGCTTCTTCAACGTTTCCGGTTGTAGACAATTGGAGAGCTCGTTGTGGGCGATGTCCCAAACTTCCAACTCGGTCAACAGATCGTAAATTTGGGGATCTATGTCGGTGATCCGATTACGCCACACGATCAACGCCTTCAGACTCCTCGCCACGTCCCTGATCCAAGATGCGTCGATGCTTCGGATCTTGTTATCAACCAAACCCAATACTTTTAATTTGCCGAGACCGCTGAAAGCCCCCGGCTCGATCGTTTCCACGCCGCATCCGGTTATGTTCAACTGTTCCAACGATTCGGAAAGTTTGGCGAACGAGCCGGCCCGAATCGTGCTCAGATTCGATTCCACGATATTCAATCCGACCGCGCCAAATGGCAATACCGATTCCTGTTTGACATATTTTCTTCTTTTTAGAAAAAGTTTGCTTAAAAAAAATGAAATTTTGCTCGATATTCCGGAAAATTCAATGTTCGCGAATATATAGCTCCAATTATTTAAATCGTATCGCGATGATTAAAGGGAGTAAATTATTCGCGGCAAATATTATTGCGCTTAATAGAGCTGTAATATTAACAGATGTAGAACACGTGTCGTACGCGTATTATATAATTTCGAATGGATTGAAACGAAAATTTCGATTCAACGATCCTCGTCGGACTGGAAGAAACGAAATTCGAGAAAAATTAACTCGATCGCGATCAAACCGACTTTACCGCATCGAAATAAAAAAT